TAAGAGACTCCTCGAAACCCAACTTTTCTTCGTAAATATTGAAACTATCCAGCAATCGCATTCAAAAGAGATGAGGTAAAAATAGATCCTTGCAAATGGAAAGTTGAAATATATTTAAACGTAAAATAATATTCATATATAAGGCTGACGGCATTTCCAGCAGCATATACTAGGTCTAGTTATCAGCTCCAAAGACCTCGAAACCGGGCAGTCCGTTCGCAGAGTCAACGAGTTACAGGCCAGGCCACTAACTTCAAATGTTTGCTGAGGCTGGTTGTTGATGAAAGAGAAGACAATGCTTTTCTTCGAGTCATTCTGGATATATTCCTGGCCTTTACGTAAAGCAGCGATTGAACAACACTGCCTCTTCCCCCTCAGAAGAGTTCAGGTTTGTGTTACGGCCCATAGGCCAAGACTACGTGGAAGAGATGAGCTTAACCATCAATTGCTCGTTAAATAATGTTGCTAACCAGCTGGTAGTCTAGCACCACAAGAAAAAAATGTCGATGACTTTGAAGATTAGATGAGGCTGAAACTTGAAATTGGTCCCTGCCACCGACATCAAGCGAAATCTGAGCCCTTAACAGTAGAACCTATTTCTCCAGCAATGTGGCCTGTCCGGAGTAAATTAAGTGCAACTATGCGATGATTCCGGGAGTGATATTTCTCAAGACACTTATACTTATCCAAGAATTATTAATAATTTCGAAAAGTGCTTTATTCGAAAATAAATAATGTCCCTAATTACAGTGGCAAATACAAGCTTTCTCCACTGACAATCCGGATATAAGATGTGACTTGAGAGAGACCTGACCTGCCTTGAAAACCATATTTGTTATATGATCCACTGGTACCCACGACTGTGTAACGGGTCACTACGATGCCTGTGACACGTTTTTACAGCCTGTTGGGGCCATTGATGAGCTGATGAGGTGAGATCGAAATGTGAAGTTCAATGGCAACATAATGCCTATTATTTTTACTATTGAAAACGTCAATCATTAGTTCTTACATACCCTTAACTAACTTAGACTGACTCAAGTCATCGCTCAAGGGCTTGTGCAAGAAGCAGTGTAGCAGAAACACACCAATCTTTTTAAATGTATACCATCCCAAAGAAACGCCATTAAATTGTATCTAGGAGCCCAAAGTAGACGCAAACCTCAAAAAGGGCAGTGCATGTGTCCACAAACAGTGTTGCGGAAAGTTAGTACTGTATATAAAATTGAAATGTATGCAACGGGGTCAGATTCATGCATTCTTTGGATTAGAACCAAGTGTTTACCTTCTATGTATAATTCTCTATTGAAAACCCATCTTAAGCATTATTTTAGAGTAACTTAAAATGTTTTTCGAAGATATGAACACCAAGATGGTGTGGCATTTTGTGTGGCCTCAGTTTCCTTTCGTTGTATAGACGTAATTTGACCTTGTTTTCGCAACTTGGTCATAATGTTAGGAAGACTTAGAGGAATGCACCTAGTCCGGAGTCCATTGTACGCATGACAATTCCCAAAGTCGGACTGTGGACGTGGTAAGACTCACTGACAATGCCGGCCAAACGTCTGGGAATGTACCACGTCCACGGTCCGACTTTGGAAATTCTCATGCATACAATGGACTCCGGACTAGGTGCATTCCTCTAAGTCTTCCTACCAATATGACCACGTTGCGAAAACAGTGTTAAACAACTTCTATGGAAATGATTTTGCTCGAAGGCTGGATTTGGTAGAGGCCTGATCTCGGGGCAATTCCAGGTAAGAGCCTTTATAAAAGAATAAAATAAATTTATGAATGCATAATTTTGTGCTCTTTCAGGGTCCGGTGTTTACTACCAAAAGAAAGACGGCAACCTACTAATGAGTGCAGAGGCAGGTGAAGTGAGGATAAAGACTGATGGGACCACGGTTACAGTGACAATCGCCAGAGCTATATACTCTGGTCGCCTGCATGGCTTGTGTGGAGATGCAGACGGTCAAATGAACAACGATTTTGGAGCTTCCAAAAATGCCATCGAGTTTGGCAACTCGTTTAGAGGAAGGCAAGTAAGTAAAGAAGAGCTTAAATCATCAGACAAGTCAGAAGCTCACAGCTTTGTAGAA